ACACAGACACTGGTGGTGTTGGCCGTGAGCGGGAATCGAACTCAGGTCACCGGGATCGTAGCGCTGACCGCTGAGATGATTGCGTTGGTGAGTGAGTGAGTGGGTGGAGTGAGTGAGTGGGTGGGTGTATGAGTGAGTGAGTGGATGAGTGAGTGAGTGGGTGAGTGGTGAGTGAGTGAGTGGGTGAGTGAGTGAGTGAGTGGATGAGTGAGTGGGTGAGTGGTGAGTGAGTGAGTGGGTGAGTGAGTGAGTGGGTGGGTGGGTGAGTGAGTGGGTGGGTGGGTGAGTGAGTGGGTGGGTGGGTGAGTGAGTGAGTGGGTGAGTGAGTGAGTGTATGAGTGAGTGTATGAGTGAGTGAATGAGTGAGTGAGTGAATGAGTGAGTGAGTGGCTACCTGCATACAACAGTTGTCTATGATGATGGTGTCGTATTTGATGAGGGGGTAGAGGGCAGCCACCTCCTCACAACACTGCAGGAAGAGGCCATCCCCAAGTTTCCTGCAGTACACACACACACAGACACACACACAGACACACACACAGACACACACACAGACACACACACAGACACACACACAGACACACACACAGACACACACACACAGTCACACACACAGACACACACACACACACAGACACACACACACAGACACACACACAGACACACACACAGACACACAGTCACACACACAGACACACACACACACACAGACACACACACACAGTCACACACACAGACACACACACACACAGATGCGCACACACACAGTCACACACACAGACACACACACAGACACACACACAGACACACACACACAGACACACACACAGATACACACACAGACACACACACATACACACACACACACAGACACACACACACACAGACACACACACACAGACACACAGACACACACAGACACCCACATAGACACACACACAGACACACAGACACACACAGACACCCACATAGACACACACACACAGACACACAGACACACACACACACAGACACACACACAGACACACACACACACACAGACACACACACAGACACACACACACAGACACACACACAGACACACACACAGACACACACACACACACACAGACAGACACAGACACACAGACAGACACAGACACACACACACAGACAGACACACAGACACACACAGACACCCACATAGACACACACACACACACAGACACACACACACAGACACACACACACAGACAGACACACACACATACACATCACAACCACCCCCACCAACCCAACCACCACCACCACCCCACCACCACCACCACCACCCCCACCATCACCACCACCACCACCCTCACCACCACCACCATCACCACCACCACCACCCCCACCATCACCACCACCACCACCCCCACCATCACCACCACCATCACCACCACCACCACAAACCACCCTCACCACCACCATCACCACCACCACCACCACCATCACCACCACCACCACCCCCACCACCACCACCACCATCACCACCACCACCACCATCATCACCACCACCACCCTCACCACCTACACCACCACCACCCTCACCACCTACACCACCACCACTACCCTCACCACCACCATCACCATCACCACCACCACCACCACCTACACCACCACCACCACCCTCACCACCACCACCACCACCACCACCCACACCACCTACACCACCACCACCACCATCACCACCACCACCACCACCATCACCACCACCACCACCACCTACATGATGTTCGCCTTGTGAACGGCTGTTACTTTGCTCCGTCCATGTTTGGTTGCGTAGTCAAATGCGAACTTGGCGATTCGCCGGGAGCGGTCGCGGGTGATGATCTTGAGAGACTCCACCACACCCGGCACGCTCTGACAGCCAAAACCACATCAGCCACAACAACCACAACAACCACAACAACAACAACCACAATAGCCACAACAGCCACAACAACCACAACAACAACAACCACAATAGCCACAACAACCACAACAACCACAACAGCCACAATAGCCACAACAACCATAACAACCACAACAGCCACAACCACAACAACCACAACAACCACAACAACAACAACCACAATAGCCACAACAGCCACAACAACCACAACAACCACAACAACAACAACCACAATAGCCACAACAGCCACAACAGCCACAACAGCCACAATCATTAAAGTAATCTCTCTCTCCCCGTGTCTCTCTCTCTCTCCCCGTGTCTCTCTCTCTCTCCCCGTGTCTCTCTCCCCGTGTCTCTCTCTCTCCCCGTGTCTCTCTCCCTGTGTCTCTCTCCCCGTGTCTCTCTCTCTCCCCGTGTCTCTCTCTCCCCGTGTCTCTCTCTCTCCCGTGTCTCTCTCTGACCCCCGTGTCTCTCTCTCTCCCGTGTCTCTCTCTGACCCCCGTGTCTCTCTCTCTCCCCGTGTCTCTCTCCCCGTGTCTCTCTCTCTCTCCCCGTGTCTCTCTCTCCCGTGTCTCTCTCTCTCCCCGT